CCAGCGACATAGCCATTACGCTAACTGCTGGTTCCCATTTATCTAACATTTTCTTGAGTTCAGTTGTACTGTCTGTGGATGATGAAGGGGTTCTTTTCCTTGGGGGAGAGACATTTTTTGGTTTCTCATATTTCTTGTGCCTCTGTGCTGGTTTCTGGTCATCTGATGGATTATACGTTTCTTTCTTATTTCTGCACTACTATCGCTGGAACTGGATATTCCAATGGATTTCCAATTTTTTGAGAACAGGTTTACCAAGGTTAAGCTGCAGGGTTTCAGCTGAGGAAGAAAGTAGGGGTCGCATGGCACACAAGGCGCACCCTACACTAAGGGCACGGTGAAGTTGAACGTATTCCTGAGTGAGCAAAGGCAGTTAAAGGTCTAAAGCAGTCTCCTGGAAGTGGTAGGGAGAAGGTAGTTCCCAAGGCAATCTCTGGCCTCAGTAGTTCTCAAAAGAGGCCTTGGCCTCTTCTGCCAAGCAGGAGCAAGGAATGATGGTGGGCGAGGGACCTGGAAGCCAACGGGCTCTGGGCACCTGAAAGGATTGGGGAGGAATGCATGGCTTTAAATTTGTTTTTTTAAAAGTAGTGTTAGGGGAACCAGCAGTTAGCATAATGGCTATGTCGCTGGACTCCCACGTAGTCGACCGCGGTTCGCGTGCCAGACTGGGAGGCTTAAAACTCACGCCGGGCGCATGTGCGTGCATGCCCAAGATCCTGAGAGGAGAATGGAGGAGAAGGGATTGTGGCGTGACCATCCCTCCGGGGGTTGATTTCTCACTTTCTATCTCTATGTCTCTCTCTGTTTGGTGAACGCACGCGCCGTATAGCGAAAACCTCCCCCCCCCAAAAAAAAAGTAGTGTTAGATTTATTTTGTATGTTAGACTCTAGTTTAGGATTATTTTTGTTATTGTTTGTTTTGTTTATTCTAAGTTTTTTGTTTTGTTTTTACTACAGGGTATGTGCACTCACTGAAGAGAGACAGAGAGAAGGAAAGTGAGCAGTCACTCACTCCCCAGGTGGGATGGCCACTTTGCAGTCTCTTTTCCCTTTATCCTCATGGGATTTGGGGCATGTGCATGCATGCTTTTCACGCTACCGGTGTGTCTAGAACTAGAACCATGTGGCTAGCCATGGGTTACCTGGTCCCAGTTTAGGATTATTTTTAAAAAGTGTATGAACAGAAAGTACCAAAATAGCTGGTGTCATTGGTAAGTCTCCTTTGAACAGTCATTTTGAAAGGTGAGAAGTCATACAAGTGTATCTGTTTATCATCAAGTCTCTATTTAAGGTTATTATTTAGTTCATTAGGTATTCGTAAACCCTACTGTTTTCCACTTTCAAAAAGCTATTATGAAATGATATGTACTCTGAATTAATAGATTAACATGATAATGCTTACATTATTAAATATTCTAGTATATGAATGAATTTTAGTGGAGCTTTTTTCCCTAAAGAGACTTTTTTTTTTTTTTGCTATACTGTGAGTGCATGCCTGAGAGAGACAGAGAGACAGAAAACAAGAAATCACCCTCCAGGGAGGTGGCCATGCTACAATCTCTTCTCCTTCGTTCTCCTCTTGGCATTTTGGGCACGCACGCACATGTGCCTGGCATGAGTTTTAAGCCACTGGGTCCAGGACTTGAACCATGGTCAACTATGTGGGAGTCCAGCGACGTAACCCTTATGCCGTCTTTTAGTCCCAGGGCCTGCTTTTCTTATAAGATGCTAAGTTTATTGACCAAATCCTTTTATCTTGGGCTGGCCTGTGACCTGTTGATTAAGGTGGCTGGATCCCTCCTAGCCAACCATGCTCTCTGAGTCTTGGGCTACCACATACAAGTGAGTGCATGTCCAAACTCCCAAAAGGAGGGAGAGTTGGAGGAGAAGGGATTGTGCTGTAACCGTGCTCTGTGGGAGTTCTCTCTTGCTTCCCTCTATCTTTCCCTCTCTCTGTCACTCTCTGACAGGTGCATGCACCCTCTGGCAAAATTTAAAAATACATATATATCCACTTGGCTTTCAGGAGATGGGAGGATTATCGGCCAGCTGGTGCTGTGGTATCCAAGACAGCTGGTCCCACATGGCCAAGTGCATGGTTCGAGTCCCAGACCCGGTGGCTTGAAAACACACACTGAGTGTGTGCATGCACATGCCCCAAATCCTGAGAGAATAGAAGTGAAGGGATTGCACTATGGCCACCCTCCCCAGCAAGTGCTTTCTTACTTTCCTTCTATCTCTGTCTCTCTCTGTATCTCTCTGGAGGCACATGTGCCTTATTGCAAATTAAAAAAAAAAAAAAGATAATAGGAAAGTTGAAAGGTCAGTATTAGTAATAATATGGTATGGGTCAGCAAACTGTGGTTCATGAGACAAAATTGGCCAACTCTGTCCTGATACAGTTCATGAACTAAATATAGTTTTTACGCTTTTAAATGTTTGGGGGAGGGCACCCGCAGGTGGCATGGCAGTTAAGGCACTAGACACTCCCTCATGGCTGATTATGGTTCAAGTCCTGGACCTGGCAGCTTGCTTTCTCAATTTCTCTCTCTTTCTCTCTCTCTCTCTGTCTCTGTGGGTGTTTGTGTGTGTGTGTGTGTGTGTGTGTGTCTGGTCAAAATAAAATGAATGAATAAATAAAATTAAATAAAAATAATTCTAAAAAAAATGTTAGGGGGGAACGTCAGAGTAAGAGAACGGTCTTGCGCCATGAAAGGTGTCTCCGCTGTCCTGCACGTTGCTGTGAGATGCACTGCAGGTTACAGCGATGTCACAGCTCGCCAGCATTTCACATGCCGTGCATCTCACCCCTCTGTGTGAAATGGCACTTTCACAACGAAACATGTAAAATCCCAGTACACATCAGTTTTACCAGATGAACAGCATGATCTGTTTTAATAAGAAACACTGACTTTGAACCCTACTTAAGTGAAATTACTCCTCCCCAAAATAATGCTGTTCTTCTCATACCTGTGTGTTGCAAAAAATAATACTGTTGTTACTATTGTTATTATTACATTTTGAATTTTGTTGACAAAACATTTGTGGAAATTTCTTTTTCAAATTAGCCAGACACAAAAAGACAAAGGTCATATGGGTCTATTTACATTAGGTGCCTAGAGTAGGCAAATCCCTGGAGACACAAAGTAGAGGAGAAGTTATCAGGAAGTGAGGATAGGGAGAGTATGGAGTTAGTGTTTAGTGAGGACAGAGTTTCTGTTTGGGGTGATGGGAAAAATTTGGGAAGGATAGTCATGATGCTTGCACTCAGGATTGGGCATGAAATTAACACCACTGAGGGGCCAGGAAATGGCACAGTGGTTATGTCGTTGGACTCCCACGTGGTCGGTCATGGTTTAGTCCCAGACCTGGCGGCTTAAAACTCACACTGGACCCGTGTGTGTGCATGCCCAAAATCCTAAGAGTAAGAGAGAGGAGAAGGGACTGTGACATGGCCATTCTCCCTGGGGGGTGATTTCTCATTTTCTGTCTCTCTGTCTCTCCAGCAAGTGCACGCATCCTGTAGCAAACAAAACAAACAAACCCCCCCCCAAAAAAAAGATGCTTATTAGTGGAATGGCTGATACATAGTAATTACCTAATAAAAGCTAGTTATTGTGCTATAATAATAGATACAAAATAAACTGAGGTATGAGAAGACTGCTTGTCTCCGCCTCTGTGTTGTAGCTCCAGACTTGGAGCTCAAAGCCACATGCCGTCCAGTTTAAATCTCCACTGGATGCTTGCGCCGCTGATCCTGGTGGGCTGGGGATCGGAAGGAAAGACTGTAGGGGTCATCCTTTACAGCAGGTGGCATGGCACTTAAGGCACTAGATACTCTCATGTGGCTGACTGTGGTTCTGGTCCCAGCCATGAGTGCTGTAGAGGTGCTTCTCTGTCTCTCTCTCTCTCTCTCTCTCTCTCTCTCCCTCTCTTTGTCTCTCTCTCAGGTTTGCACACCCACACACTTCATTATAAATAGTTTTAAAAACTTACGGTTGTCACAAAAATCTCCACTCTTAGCTAGCCCTGTAGCTCAGTGGTTTAGGGAGCGAGATCCCACACTGTCGCTTGGATCCCAGCCCCAGTGGCATCAGAGCTGTGCTGGACATGTGTTTGTGTGCACCTAAAATCCTGACAGGGGTGGAGGAAAAGGGACTGTGACGGACTGCATTGACTGGAAGGTGCTTTCTCCCTCAGGTGCACACACATACCCTCTGGCAAGAAAATGTAAAAATAATGAAAAAAAGAAACCTATGCTCACAATTATCCATACAAGTCAGGAGTCTGAAAGCATTGAAGGAAGAGCAGCTTATAGTTTAGTGAGGGACACGGAGGGACAAACAGACTGTAAAGATAGCCAGAGTACAAAGAGGCCTTGGTCAGCAATGCCTCAGTGTTCCCTTAGAACGTCACTGATTTGACAGAAGACACCTAGAAATTTTAAGGTAGTAGTGTGTTTAAGCATATGCGTACTAAATGTCAATATGTTTTTCTGCCAATTGGGTGACTTTTTTTCTTCCATTTTGTCATGTAAGGAGTTTGTTTAGAAGATTGGGGGACCAGCAGTTGGTGTAATGGCTATGTCGCTGGACTCTCATGTAGTTGACCTTAGTTAGAGTCCTGGACCCAGTGGTTAAAACTCACGCCGGGCATGTGTGCATGTGTGCCCAAGATCCTGAGAGAGAATAGAGGAGAAGGGATTGTGGCGTGACCATTGCCTCTACTGGGGTGATTTCTCACTTTCTCTCTGTCTGTCTCTGTCTTTCCGGTGAGCGCTTGTGCCCTATAGCAAAAAAAAAAAAAAAACCTCTCAAAAAAAGAAGTAAGAAGAAGAAGAAATAAAAGAAAATTGGGTTGTATAGAATGCCTCCTTCTACAGAACTTTTGGATAAATACAGTGCTTTTATAATATAAGGACATAAATTCTGCATTTAAACATTGGCAAAATTGCCTAGCATTTGCTTATTTAAAATTTTCAATATAATATTCTTTTCTAGGAAGATTCCTGATGTTACTCCCATTGTAAGTGACCAGAAACCATCTGTATCAAAGTCTGGACGGAAGATTAAAGGAAGGGGCACAATTGTACGTGTGTTAAGACTTTTCTTTTTTCAGATCACTTGTCTACACAAGTGAAAACTTTTGTACCCGTAGGCAAATCCTCATTTTAATTTTAGGTATAATGCAAAATATGTGCAAGGAAATAATTGAATCTTCCATAGTTAAGGGAAGCACCGCTGTTAGATCAAAGTTTACTGTTGTGTTTGAGTGGGTTTAATTAGCTATGAAATGAACATGTGAAATAATCAGTATGTTTAGAAATCTTAATGTGTTAAATAATCTAGGCTAATGAATGTAACCATTTGAACTTTAAATTTCATGTGAGATGATTATAGGTGAATCTCAGCCCTTCTCTTTCAATCTCTTATATTTGAAATTACTTGATGCCATCATTTGGGTACTTGAGTCATTCCCTTCATTGGGATCTAAGATTGGGTCTACCTACCTCTGTCCTGTGGCAGACTGTGATCGAGAGGCGTTTTTTTAGTTATTTCCTTCTTTGTTTTTAAAGCGCTATCACACACCTCCAAGGTCAAGGTCTTGTTCTGAGTCAGATGATGACGACAGCAGTGAAACTCCTCCTCACTGGAAAGAGGAAATGCAGAGATTAAGAGCATACCGACCACCTAGTGGAGAGAAATGGAGTAAAGGAGATAAGTAAGAGTTTTCAGTATCAGCACAATCCCGTGTCCGCTCTGTAAAGTGTTAAGGGGATGGAGACTGAATTATGTAGTCTTCTTTAAAGGTTTACAGTCAGAATTAGACTGTGACCAATGGGAATATATTTGGGAATACTTGGTGAAATTAACAACTAGGTGGGATGAACAACTTGGGGGGCTTTTAAAGGTCTCTTATTCTGGCCTAGCCTTAGAGGCGAAGTCAGCAGCTTCCTGAACTGCAGGGCTGAAAGCAACATGGCCAGTTACGGGTTCAGATCCTGAGGGGCTGGAGGGCTCGGGGGTGGGGGTGGGGGGGCAGTGTGTGACAGACGCCAAGGGTGTTCCACATACCCTGACATGCATACACATATGTTGTCTATCATGAATAAAATAAATAAAACTTTTACAGTGGGAGAATTGTATGGAATATGAATTATATCTCAAAAAGATAAATTTCTTACCCAGTTTTTAAAATAACCCAGGACTTAAAAATTATATAAAAGATTCTTTCCTAGCCAGGTCTCTTAGTCATTAATGAAGTAATCGATAGATTGGAAAGTCCACGTCCAGTGTATGCATTAACCTCAGACCCCAGGGCTGTTGCCTCTTCAGAAGTGTACCCATCTCCTACTCTCAGTGATACCCCACAGTAGAATATCTGGTTTAGAAACGGACGTGGCCCCAGAGTAGCTGGTGAAAAATATGCCCGTGGGATCCTGTGTAATTCTTCATTATAGAACTCTCTCCTTTTCTACCTGTGGGCATCCTACAGGGTGGCTAGAAATGGAGAGACTGAAGAAAACGTGTGCATCAGCCTGGAAGTGGCCTGGACACAGTGGTGCTGAGGACTCTCACTCTTAAGTCTTGATACTACCACTGAGATTGTGAAGCATGGGTCTCTCTTCACAAGCCTTTTCTCAGTTTCTGTTTTAGTACTTTACAACCATAGGGGGAAGTCTTGAGTACCTCTGTGGGGCACAGAAAACAGTGGTCATGCCAGCTTCTTAGGAAAAAGAGGCTTCTCTTTAAAAATGCAGGCATCTATCCCATAGCTACAGAGAATCAACAAACTTGTTTGGAAATTTAGTTTGAGTCTCCCAAAAATTGCTCCCAGGGTTGTGGGTAAAGCACAGCCAAGAGCTCAGTGTGTCAGCAGTACTCTTATGAGCAGTTGGTTTGATTCTCTAAAATGTTTTCCCATCAGAGTTGAAATTCTTTGCTTAGCATTAAAAAAAACCCTTTTGTAAGTCAGTCTGTTAGTAGTCGTCATTATGTGTCTCTGAAAGTGCAAGGCCAAAACATGTAACTTGGGTTCATGTTTTGTGCCTGTGCTTAAAGTCTTGGCGGGAGTGAGTACTTTGTTAACGAGGCTTTGTCAGTGCTTTCTCATCGACAGCACGTGTGTTTTAAGACATAGAAAATAAGCTTATAAATAATTGCACGTATTTTCTTTTCTTTTCTGTAGGTTAAGTGACCCTTGTTCAAGCCGATGGGATGAAAGAAGCTTGTCTCAGAGGTCCAGATCGTGGTCCTATAATGGATACTATTCAGACCTTAGTACAGCAAGGCACTCTGATGGGCATCATAAAAAACGCAGAAAAGAGAAAAAAGTTAAGCATAAAAAGAAAACTAAAAAGCAAAAACATTGCAGAAAACACAGACAGACTAAGAAGAGAAAGATAGTTGTACTATCTGATATAGAGTCCTCAAAATCTTCCACTCAACCAGTGAAATCCTCTTGTGACAGAGAAAGGAGATCTCATTCTTCCTCATTATCCTCTCATCACTCATCAAAGAGGGACTGGTCTAAATCTGATAAGGACGACCAGAGCTCCTCAACCCATTCCAGCAGGGACTCAGACAGATCAAAATCTCACTCACGGTCTTACTCTAGAGGAAGCTCACGATCAAGAACTGCGTCAAAGTCCTCATCACAGTCTCCAAGTAGATCAAAGTCCAGATCTAGTTCCAAGTCAGCACACCAAAGGACGGCGTCGAAATCCCCAAGAAGAACAGCTCCTCAGTTAAGTGAAAGTAAACCAGTTAAAGCAGAGCCTTTAAGAGCAGCAGTGCCACAAAGTGAAAACATAGTCGTGCAGCCGGTGGTGGCAGAGAATATTCCGGTAATACCGTTAAGCGACAGTCCCCCTCCATCACGGTGGAAGCCTGGACAGAAGCCTTGGAAGCCCTCTTATGAAAGAATTCAGGAAATAAAAGCTAAAACAACCAATTTTCTGCCTATCCAAAGCACTTACAGTTTAGCAAATACTAAAGAGACTGGTAGTTCGTCATCCTACCGTAAAAGAGAAAAACATGCAGACAGCGATAGAAGTGCTTATTCAAAATACAGTGACAGAAGTTCTGAAAGTTCTCCCAGGTCCAGGAGCAGGTCTTCTAGGAGTAGGTCCTATTCCAGGTCGTACACAAGGTCACGTAGTCTAGCTAGTTCACACACACGGTCTCGATCTCCATCATCTCGCTCCCACTCACGAAGCAAATACAGTGATCGTTCACAGAGTAGTCGATCATCTTCGTACACCTCTGTTAGCAGTGATGACGGCAGGCGAGCCAGGAGGAAGTTTAGATCCAGAGGGAAGAAAAAGAACACTTCCCAGAAGAGGCACAACAGCAGCTCTGAAAAGACACTTCGTAATAAACACATCAAAGGCAGAGACAAGCCTTCCTGTCAGAGAAAGTACAGTGAGAGCAGGTCATCTTTAGATTATTCTTCAGACAGTGGACAGTCTAGTGTCCAGGTTACACAGTCAGCCCAGGAAAAAGAGAAGCAGGTTCCAAAGGAAGTAACCAGTAAGAAACAAGAGAAAAACAGAGAAAAAGACAAATCCAAATCTGAACGGGAATGTCCTCATTCAAAAAAAAAAACTTTGAAAGAGAATCTTTCTGATCACTTCAGAAATGGCAATAAGCCTAAACGGAAGAATTATGCTGGGAGTAAATGGGACTCTGAGTCAAATTCAGAACGAGATGCAACTAAAAACAGTAAAAATGATTCCCGGCTGTCTTCCGATAAGGAAGAAGGTGAGGCCACGTCAGACTCTGAATCAGAGGTTAGTGAAGTTCACACGAAAGCCAAATCTGCAACTAAATACTCTGCAAATCCTTCACTGCCTGATGACGAGGGTGCTTGGAAGTCGAGCAAACAGCAGTCGTCAACCTCTGATTCCGAGGGGTCTTGTTCTGTGTCAGAAAACAATAGAGGAAAGCCACGGAAGCACAAACGTGGGTCAAAGGAAACCCTTAAGCGGGAACACACCAAGAAAGTGAAAGAGAAGTCGAAAGGGACAAAGGACAAAAAGCACAAGGCTCCGAAACGAAGACAAGCATTTCACTGGCAGCCTCCGCTAGAGTTTGGTGAAGAGGAGGAGGAAGAGATGAACGAAAAGCAAGCAAATCAAGAGTCAAAACAGAAAAAAGTTTCCGAAAGCAGTGACACCGTCAGAGGTGGTGTTGCGAGAACGGAGAAACCTTGTGAGGAGGATGGCCCTTCAGGTCAGCATAACACAGTGACTGTTTCTTCGGACCTTGACCAACTTACTAACGATGAGAGCAAACCCACCATTTCTCCCACAGCTTTAAACACCGAGGACGGTGCAGCTGGTGCCCCCCAAAACGTTCCTCACATTGAAGAGAGCCGAGTGGAGGATGTGCTTCAAGCAGATGACAACATGGAAATTTGTACTCCGGATAGGAGCTCTCCAACAAAGGTAGAGGAGGCTTCCCCTCCAGGAAACTCAAGGCTTGACACCTCAGATGTAAGCACTGTGCTCAAACAGGATGTGGAAATGGAACTTCCGGAACCAGAGGCAGTAAAGCAGGAAAGCGGAGTGTCGGAAAGCAAGTCCACAGGGGACGTGGGGAAGCACGACAGCAGTTCTGCTAGCTTGAGCGGTGCCGTAGAAAGCACCGGGAAGAGGGAGGTGGCTGACAAGAGCCAGACCAACCTCACAGATAATAAGTGGAAGCCCCTGCAGGGTGTGGGGAACCTGGCGGTACCTGCTGCTTCCACACCCAGTGCTGTGGAAGCTAAGCCACTGACCGCTGTCCCGGAAGTGAAACCACAAGGCTTGAGAATAGAAATCAAGAGCAAGAATAAAGTCCGGCCTGGGTCTCTCTTTGATGAAGTAAGAAAGACGGCACGCTTAAACCGGAGGCCACGGAATCAGGAGAGTTCCAGTGATGAGCAGACACCTAGTCGGGATGAGGACAGCCAGTCCAGAAGTCCAAGTAGGTCTCGGAGTAAATCCGAAACCAAGTCAAGGCACAGAACAAGGTCTGTCTCCTATAGTCACTCAAGAAGTCGGTCGAGAAGTTCCACGTCGTCTTACCGGTAAGCAATATTTTCTTGCCTTTTTTTTCTCCCAAGGAGTCTGTTACTGTCTCTCTCAAAAGAACTTCAGAGGGACCGGCAGTTGGCGTAATGGCTATGTCACTGGACTTCCATGTAGTCGATCATGGTTTGAGTCCCCGACCTGGTGGCTTAAACTCACTCTGGGCACGTGTGTGTACATGCCCAAGATCCCGAGAGGAGAATGGAGGAGAAAGGATTACGGCGTGGCCATCCTCCCTGGGTGTGTGTGTGTGTGTGTGTGATTTCTCACTTTCTGTCTCTCTCTATTAGAGGGTGTGTATACACATCAGACAAAGAGACTGGAGTGGGGGAATCACCCCCTAGAGGGCTTGGTCCTGCAATCGCTTCTCCATTTTTCCCTTCTTTGGGGATTTTGGCACACATACACATGTGCCTAGCGTGTTTCTTGAGCTGCTGGTCCCAGACTTTATAACTACCAGGCCACAGAGCTGGCCCGAGTTCTCCATCTTTTAAGTATGAAGCTACTCTCTTGCAGTGTTATCAGCCCTAGCAGGGAATCCTGGATTTGTAGAATATGCAGGATGTAAGAGATCGTTCACGTGTCTTTCCCTTTTACATCGTGGAGGAAAGAGCTGGAGAGGCAGTCACCTGCCCACAGACATGCTTCTCATTGAGCTTTATTTTTTTGGGGGGGAGGGAAAGGTGAACATTATTGTCTTTAGATTTTGTTGTTCAATTACAAACTAAAGTAATCGGTAGTGTTGAGTTAATAAGTAGTTGTATTGTATTCTTTGTAAACATTTCGGTTTGACCTGTCTCTTACTCATGTCCCTTATATTGTGCTTGAGTCTCACCCTTTAAGCTTAACATACAATAGGAATCTTTGGCTATTTTTTCACTTCTTGTTATTTATCAGTCTTTTCCTTCCCTTTTTCATCCAGACTCCTTAAAAAGGGAACCACCCTTTGCCACTTACACCGTCTCCCACTTACTCCTCAGTTTCTCGCATGCCGTCTGCGTCTTCCCCTCTGCATTTCACTGAACTGACGGAGGTTTTCAGGTTTCTTCTGCATGGCCAGTGCCAGGGCATGTTTTCAGGGGAAGCCCTCTGCTGGCTCCCCTCATCCCTTTCTGACCATCTCATCCAAGCTCCCCTTTCTCCTCCTTCCCGGCTCCCAGCAGGCCCAGAGAGCTGGCAAATCCCAGTCTTTTCTTTCTGGGTTCCTGTGGCCAGGTGCTGTTGCCTCTTGAGTGACTCCAGCTTCCTGTTTGCTGACAATCTGCCTCACCATTTACACTCAGCTCTGAGCTATCGGCAATGCTGGCTAGTCCCCGCACTTACCTTCTGACCATTGCCTTTAGAGTGCTGGTATTTCATTTCATAGATGAAGACAGCGAGGCTAGAAAGGCCATGGAATTTGCTGCAGGATTGTGGCTGCCAGGTAGGGGTCAGTGATAGCTGAGCCTGGGCCTCACTCCCCCACCAGGCCGTGAACTCCAGTCAGGGACTGTCTTACTCATCTTTTAGTCACCTCACAGGGTCTGACACTATAATTTTGGGTTGAATGAAAGGCTATACTTTCAGGAAATAATGTATCCATTGTTTTACAGATAAACTGGAAGCAGGTCATGTTTTCCAAAACCTAAGGGTACCCTGAGAAAAGCCTGCATTGGGATTACATGAGGAGCCTGTGTACAGAGCGGTTGTTTTATTCCTGAATGGCAGGTTCAAGTCGGGGGAGAAGGATGGGCAGCCAAGTGAATCCAGAGGGCAGGATTGTACTACTAAAGTCTTTGGTTGTCTTATTAAATACTAAGTAGATATAAGAGTAACAGATAATTCCAGTATAAAACATACCGTGTCTGCCCAGATACCCGTCGGCTAGCTTAAAGCGTTCTAGCCGAGCTAGTACAGCCGTCCTCAGGGCCGCCCTGCTTGCCCTCCTCGCTCCCTGGAGTTAACCATTATTCTCAACTTGTGTTACAACTAGGTTGTTTTTCTTTCCATTTCTGCCACAAATATTTCTATCCTTACATGATGTTGTTTGGGCATGTTTTAGAACTTTTTATAAATAAAATCTTTTATATGTATGGATGTTCTGCATTTGCTTTCTCACTCAGCATTGTGTTCAGGAAATGTACGTTGAACACGTGCAGCTGTAGTTTGTCCATTTTCCTACTCGAATATACTTCATTCTCATTATACTTCTCTGCCTACTTTATTTTTAAGAATTTATTTCATTATTTATTTGTTTATTTTTGAGAGGTTTTTGCTACAGGGCACATGTGCTCGCCAGAAAGACAGAGACAGAGAGACAGAAAGCGAGAAATCACCCCCCCCAGGGGATGGCCATGCCACAATTCCTTCTCCATTCTCTCGGGATCTTGGGCACGCATGCACACGCGCCCAGCGTGAGTTTAAGCCACCGGGTCCAGGACTCGAACCGCGGTCAACTACATGGGAGTCCTACGACATAGCCATTACGCCAACTGGTGGTCCCATGTGCTTGCATGTTTTTAAGCCCACTCTACCAGTAGTTGAGGTCTAGGTTACCTCCTCCTTTGGTGTTACAGACAGGGCTCCTCGGAACGTGCCTGTAGCAGCCGCTCTGCTTTTCCTTCCTTGTGTTTGATTTAAACCACGCTTGTTTCGGGATTGCCTCATTAGCGGTCACTGTCAGATCCATTGTGAGGAAGTTCTAGGAGACCTTTCCTCTTGTGTGGTCTCTTCCTGCTCCACCAGTAATTAATTTTAGCAGTTGGGTGAGTTACATAATTGCATGTTTTTTTCACTCTTGAATTGTAGATCAAGAAGCTACTCTAGAAGTCGGAGCAGAGGGTGGTATAGCAGAGGCCGAACCAGAAGCCGGAGCAGCTCTTACCGCAGTTACAAGAGTCACAGGTGGGCTCAAGACCCAGCTCTATGCTGTCAGCTGTGAGGGCTGTTCTTTAAGGGCTGCCTTGGCTGAGTGGGCCTCTGTTGAGAGTGGTCTGGTCATTGCTGAATCCCAGGCCAGTTGTTTCTCAGCTCGCTCTTTCATCTCGCCTTGGCCCTGTTGGGAAACAGAAATGGAAGAATAGGAGAGATTTGGTAGGGGAGCCTGTCTCTGGCCAGCAGAGGTCCTAATTGCCTTGTGTTCATGGGTCCCAGTGCAGCTGTGGGGTTCTCTCTCACTGTTCTAGGAGGGGACTTTATCACAATGAGGCAAGAATGGTAGACACTTTTCCAAGTGTCTGATCATGATGTCCACCTCCCCGAAATGCATCTGTAACCTTCTTTGAGTTCACATCTGCAGTCACCTCTTGATTTGGTTGGAGATGGAGATAGGAGGGTCGTAGAGAGGGGACCGAGGAGTGAGTGAGGCCAGGCACAGGGAGCAGATTGCTCCTTCTTCCCGGCTTCTTACCTTCCTTTCCTCTGAGGTATTTTCCAGTGCTACAACTTCGCTTCATTCGTGAGTGCCCGCCTGTGCGCACCTTCCCCCGACCCCTAGTTTTTTATGTGCACCATGGACGAACTGTACAAAGGTCAACGAGCTCATTTAAAATTTCAGTGTACTGTTGAAATGAGGCCAGAATAAACATAACTGTGAAATTTCACTGTGTTTTTGCCTTGATGGGCAAATAAATGTGTAGAGTTTTGACGTAGCCTGCCCTGATCTGCAAGGTGGTGATGGTCCTTGTGATTCGTTTTAGGACATCCAGCAGGAGCAGATCCAGGAGCAGCTCGTATGATCCTCACAGTCGATCCAGGTACGGACGGGTATGGTAGCCCCCTCAGGGGTGCAGTTTTGAGGCCTGTTGTATAAACGCTTAGTTCAAAGTGTTGTATTTTGTTGACAACTTAAAGACATATATTGTCTTCTGAAATCATACTTTTCTAAATGAGGCCCTTTTGACGATTTTTATCTGTTGGCCCATTGACCCATTGTACTCTGTTGTCAAAAGTGACAGGGTCAAATTGTAACTGCAGGTGTTTATGGAATATAATTGCCTTGTAAGATCCACTGGACTCAGTCAAACTAACTCAGTATTAATTTTGTGATATTTTTCAATGCAGAAAAGAAATTAACATTTTTCTCTATAATATGGTAAGTCTGATTTGGGGCAGTTAATGTTTCTAGTACTTGTTATGCAAATGTGTCTTCACACTGTCGTAGAGTACCCATAAACTTGCACACTCTCAAGATGCTAAAAAGAAGTAAGACTATATGAGTATTTCAACAGGGAAGTCTAATGTGAGCCGTTGCTGTTAAAGCAGGTCCTACACTTACGACAGCTACTATAGCCGGAGTCGGAGTCGGAGTCGAAGCCAGAGGAGTGACAGCTACCATCGAGGCAGAAGTTACAATAGGCGGTCCAGGTGGGTGTCCCCTTTAGAGCGCTGCAAATGATGACCATGAACGTGTGGCGTGTAGGGGGATAGATTGCTAGTGGAGACTCAGGGTGCTACAGAGATCCAGAGTGAGTTTCAGCAACCACAGGCAACTGCTAAAAGTGCCCTTTATAAGGGTTGCTATGGGGACCAGCAGTTAGCATAATGACTATGTTGCTGGACTCCCACATAGTTGACCACGGTTTGAGTCCCGGACCCGGTGGCTTAAATTCACACCAGGTGTGTGTGCATGTGTGCCCAAGATCCCGAGAAGGAGAATGGAGAAGGGACTGCAGCATGGCTATCCCTCTTGGGGGGTGATTTCTTGCTTTCTGTCTCTCTGTCTCTCTTTCTGGCAAGTGCATGTGCCCTATAGCAAAAACCTCTCCAAAAAAAAAAAAATAGTTGCCAGGTAATATTTGTTGGGTTTTGTTCACATTTGAATCTAAAAATGGGTTTTCAAACATTCAAGTATCCTTGGACAAACATTTTTTTTGAAGAGTAAAGCTAGTCTACCCAAATTGTAGCTTGGCCCATTTCTTAAATAGGGCTACTTGCTAGAAATAGCCAACTTGTCATTTTTTTCAAATAAAAAAGGGCAATATACAAAATGTAGTAATCATTTGTTTCAGCAGCAGGATCGAAGCTTCTTTCTTATCCTTCAGTAAAACATGTATTTTTACGTATTATATATGGCATGTTCAATACAACATATTTAGGCCACTGCAAAAGTCTTTATTGTGACTTTTGTAATGTCCTTTTCTGAGACTCCTGGTCCTACCCTGTCCTGTTCATTGCAGCTCTAGTGATCCTCATACCTTATCAGTGTGATCTGGACATTGCCTTGTTTGAAGCTCGTCCAGGCCTTCCTACTGTTCAGCTCTAGGCATTGCATGGAAGGCCCCTCCACTTACCCCCTCCAACCTGGACTCCTATCTTCCCTCTAAGTTTTGTAACTTTTCCTACTGGCTAGAGACACAGGCACCCTCCACAGTCTTCCCTTTTGCCTCTGGAAATGACCGGTTACTCCCTATCCTTCAGGTTTCCACTGCAGTCCACTGTCTCTGGGCAGCCCTTCCTGACTTCAAATCCTAAGACACAGTCCCTCCTCTGTGCCTCTGAGATAAACTTTGTTCCTCCAAGGACTCTCATTGACCCAAACTTAACTTGTCTTGCCCACAATTCTGTACTAACCTTGAGCCCGAGAGAACTAGACTTGATCTGATTTTTAGACGGTCCCCAGCGTCTAGCAAAGTGACTAGCTCTCAGTGAATATTTTTCAAAACGACTGAATAGTGACCCTAACCAATTCTTCCTGACTCAATATCCCAGTGGTTCTGCTCATGGGCAGGCTGTGCCCACCCTTCACTGGGCCTCCACCTCATGGGTTTCTGTACCTCTAATGAAACTGCCTTGCACCCTTGCCTCCTTATTTCTCGGTCAGTCTAAGCAGATACCAGGGTTCATTTTTGGGTATCACAGAGAATTATCCTGCTTATTTGCATGAATGAATTACAAGTAAATGTTCCAAGATGTGATGTTTCTTTATTTTATCTTAATCTTAAAATTACTATCATTTGTCCTCTAAAACAGCTTTGGAAAGTCCATAGGTGGCAGTAGTCAAGACTCCATTTCTCCACCCCTGTGCTGTGTTATGTCCGTAGTGTTTTCAGGCCTCTCGTATCAAAAAAGGAGGTATAAGGGGAATTCAAAGCATTGAGAACTAAAAGGTTTTTGTGTATTTTGTTTCTTTTTGGTTTGTTGTACAGGAGTTGTAGATCTTACGGCTCTGACAGTGAAAGTGACCGAAGTTACTCTCATCACCGGAGCCCCAGTGAAAGCAGCAGATATAGTTGAAAACATCCTTTTTTGATATGAATTATATCTTATTTGTAAATATCTGGTAACTTAAAAGTTTAAGATACTCAATGGCAGTCTCTTGTTCTATTTCAATATTAGAGATTAGTTTTAGATACTTCTTAATTGTTCATTTACTTGTGTGCAGAAGAATTTAAAATACAGAAATGTCTCCTAAGAATATTTTTATGCCACATTTTACAGTAGCCAACTATTGATATGAATTTCATTTTCTTGAATCAAGAAATTGTGAAATTGATCTAAGTATGATTTGCAATATTAGTTTAGGTAGACGATTTCTCTCCATCTCATGTATTTCTTAGAATACAGATTCTTTTTGCCCATTTTTCAGGTTTTAGCCTATATGCTGCCAAGCATAGAACTGTGAAGGAAAACTGTTAAAAGGTGGCCAAATATTTATACACCAATTACAGAATCTTGTACATACGTGCTCTTGAAACACACCACCCAGAATTGATGCCGATGGTAGCCAGGAGCATAAGGCAGTGGCTCTGGGGTTCTTAATTCCTCCCTCCCTTCTTGCTGTCTCAGAGGGTCAGGGAAGTGATTATCATATCACCCACAGTCTGCATCACTTCAGGCTGGAGGGGGAGGGTAAGGGTAAATCAGCCTTAATTATAAATACCTGCACTGTCTCTAAGGACTTACATTTTGTGTGCTTTTTAATAAATACTATCAGAAGTTTAGATTATAAAAAACAATTCTATTCCAGTTCATGCTTTGGTGCTTGAACCCATACCCTTGGGTGCCTCTCAGCATTATTCTGATATACCAAACATTAGAATACAATAAAAGAGGGAGAGGGAAGAATTCTGTTGTTGTTCACTGGCACCAAAAATAGTTTATTCTGAGTTGTCTCCACTTGAATATTCCAGAGGCTTCTCTCAAGTACAGGTGTGGGTTTGGGGTCCCCTGGAGCAGGCAGGGTTGGCAGTGGGGCGAGGGGAAGAGCTGTGGCCACACTACTGCATGTATGTGTTCCTGGAAGAGGGGATTGAAGAAGGAACTTCCAAAATAATGCCAAAATCTAACTGCCACCTTCCTGGAGACACTTTGCAGGGTTTTACCCTGAAGTCTTTCAGGTAAGGGATACACCAGTCCTCAGCCGACCTGTGTAAAGCAGTGTGTCCCTCCTGTCTCTGCTGTGGGCCACACTGACTCTGGGGAGCCTCCATGGCCTTTGGAGAGAGGGGGGACACTGCATCCATGGCGTTGGCTGGTTGCTCCAAAAGTAATTTGACTTGTGCAAACTAGTGGTGGTGGTGTTTCAGTCTTCAGTTTGAGTTTTTTTCCCCCAAGTGTACTTAATCACCTTAGTGCCAGTTCAGTCCGGTTTGCAGAAGAGATTCATATTGGATGTTGGATGCAGAACGCTGTGCTCTCCCACCCAGGTCTTGCCTGGTGTATTTGGGAAGTGAGAAGGAGCCCTCAGGTGTAGGGACAACCCCTGATGGACGGAGGGGTGACCATGGGTGCATTGGAACTGTGACCCGAAGAACATATGTAGGCAGGGTTAGATGGTCAGCTGTTGGCCAAGTCAGTAGACAACCGTGAGAAAACAGGACTTGGATCAAATACTGCTTGATAGTGAGTACAAAACAGTGTTTCATACTAAGAGTTTTCAGAAGTTACCTGCAAAGGAAAATACTGTTTTAATACTACTCAGTGGGGAAAAAAATGCATTCAGAACCCAGACAGAAACTGCCAAATGAAGAACAGTAGATGAGAAGGTGCCCCTGGGCAGGATACTAGTTCCTGTTTCAGCGTATTCGTTTTCTGTTGCTGTGACAAGCTTCCCCAAAATTCGCAGCTTAGAACAGCGCACGCTCCTTAGCTCACAGTGCTGGAGTTGGTGGATCCGGACAGCGTGGCTGGACTCTCCGCCCAGGCTCTCAGCTGAACGGGGGCCGGCAGGGAAGCAGTCCTCCGTGTGGGCCCTGGGGAAGACTGCTTCCAGCTCAATCAGGCCGTTGGCAGAATTCAGCTCAAGGCTGCCCACATTCCTCCTTGTGTGGTCCCCTCCATCTTCTGACTGGAAGGGCCCTCAGAGCCCTTTTTCTCATGCTGTAAGTCTCTGCCTTCTTCCTCTGACTTAAGGGACAATGTGATTAGATCCAGCCCACCAAGATCATCTGTTTTCAGGTCATTTGTGCCATAGAACACACACGGTCATGGAGTGATATCTCATGCCATGTTCACAGGCTCGAGAGATTATCACATGGAGGAGGGGGCCGTGTGAGAATTGTGCCTACCACAGGCATAGCTTTGCCCATCTCGCTGTGGGTGGGATTCCATCCTGGAAGGCTGGCCTTAGGAGCCCCATTCGTCTCCTCTGGAAAAAGCCCTCGCTGCAGCGATCAACGTAGCGCTCACTCAAGTGAACTGCAGAGACAGCTTTTCTTCCTAAAGGGGATTGTTCTGAAATTTGAAGTTATTTTTTAATAAAACTGAATTATGTTGTGTATTGCGCTTAATAGAAAATGCATTATTGGACAGTTTTTGTACCCTCCTGTTTACTGCAAATGAAATAGCTGGTATTTCGTTCAAACACTGTAGAAAACCCTTTGTACATATGACAGTGTCGAATTTGTACACACTTCAATTAAATCTGCCCAAAACTCGAAAGGGGGACCTTGTAGAAATTAAAACGTATACTTAAAGACTGCCTCTGTGCATGTTTTGTCTCCTCACCCCGACTTCACACAGTCTTTCTGAAATGAAAAAGAAAATACCGAGAGTCTCTTCGCAGACCCAGCCAGTGAAGAGACCTCTGGCCGAGCGGCTCCTGGGACTCTTGTAGAGGGGGCAGGAGGCGGGGCTAGGGAACTGGCGGAGATGTTAACACAGATAAGCTTTCCTGGAGCCTGGTCTTCCTGCCCTGGAAGTCCCGATTTCCTCCCGGCTGTGCTGTCACCCCGCTGAGGTGACCTGCACATAGACATCTTTACTGAGGGCCATTTACCGTCAGCCTCCGCATTTGCCTCCCTGACAGCAGTCACCAGGCAGCACGACACCTGTCCCCCCCTCTCCCAGAGGACACCTTCATGGTGACATTCTCCGTGCACACACGAGAATTTGCAGGGGAAGTACAATCGACTTCTCTCTCTTTGGTACTCAAAGGAGTGTGCATTTTCTTAGTGAAATGAACACACCTCAGAGTAGGTAACTTCTCACTTGCCAGATACCCAGTTTAGAAGTAATAACTGGCTCCTAACAAGTAACTCCAGAAAACTCTCAGATGTAGCATTGTTTTAAAGTGTAAAGAAAACACAAGTGTTTGCTGTGGGGGAATCTCATCATGAAGTGGTTCGTGCTCTTGATTTTCAGTTCTAGGATCTTTATTCACATTTCAGTAGTGATAAACTCGATCAGTTGGACATGTGGGGCAGGGGGAGATGGGTCAAAGGCTCTGAGCTTGACCTGAATTAGCTGGGCATTAAATAGGCCAGAGAGGGACTAGTAGATGGCGTAATGGCTATGTTGTTGGACTCCCAGAGACAACCGTGGTTCGAGTCCCAGACCCAGCAGCTTAAAAACGTGCCAGGCATGTGTGCATGCATGCCCAAGATCCCAAGAGGAGAATGGAGGAGAAGAGATTGCGGTGTGGCCATCCCCCCTGGGGGGTGATTTCTTGCTTTCTGTGTCTTCAGCGAGCATGTGCACTATAGCAAAAATAAAACCTCTAAAAATAAACAAATAGGCCAGAGAATCGAAGAAAAATGCCCTTCCTGCAAGAGACTGTGAACACCAACCGGGCATCACTTCGGGAGGAGAAAGGCTCTTCAAGTTCAGAGCCCCGCAGGGAGCAGCCTGCCTTCAGGCGTCGCTCGTCGCTCGGATGGCCAGGTGCCGACTCTGGAAGCCAGGCCTCACGAGGTATCAGTGGAGAGGATTGAGGTCGGATTTCCAAAGGCCTCTGGCTTTTAGGAGCAGATGGACTCTGCTGCTCATAGTGAGGGTGAGAGCAGCAGTCGCATGAGGCTCCTGTGGGAGAATGAGCAGGAAGAACCGGGCAAGGGGAAGTTCTTTGATACTAGCCACGCGGTAGCTTCTCAGGAGTCCAGAGGTGTTGGGGGGCGGAGCCAGGGCCCTGCAGGAAAGCTGCAATGCCTGGCAGGTACATGGCGGGGAAAGCCAGCCAGGACTACACGAGCTCTCGGTCCGAGGTAGAGGCAGTGCTCCCTTACCACTGCCTCCCACTCCCCTCCCCAGGAATCCGAAGGCCCTCAGTGGGACTGTGCCAAGTTTCAGGCCTGAACAAGCGCTTCTGCCCCTGAGAGGCCACAGACCCGCCCTTCCCCTACAGCCCGTCAAGTTCCAGCTCCACGGGCCAGGCCAAGTGGCAGCACGCAGCCCGAAGACCCCAGGCCAGCTGGGAGGGCTGCAGCTCTTCAACCAGGAGGAGCCAAGAGGGTGGCGGTGAAAATGGAGTCCCTGAGGTCTCAGGAGAAACACGATTCCGTGTCTTGAGCCTTGACCCTGGGCCTCTGTCTGCCCTTCTCTACAATGAGGCTAACGGTTCTTAGAGCCCCGAGTTTAGAACTGCGGCACCAGACACGGTAGATAACTAAGGATGCTCAGCCTTTCCTTCCCAGACCAGCCTGGGGAAGGTAGGCCTCTCGAAGGCCTGGCCCCAACGGGCTGCGGGCTGGGCCTGCTCTTCCCCTGTCCCAGCTCACCCAGGGCCTCTGGCAGCTGTAGGCAGATTCTCAAAGCCTGAGGAGTCCCCACTGGCCCCATCGCCTCCTGCCTGATTGGATTTAGTTGTGGAAAAGTAGGAGGACCTGGCTGAGTCATTGTCTGTGTGTGGTTATTAAGGCCTTTGAGGCAGAGCCAGACGGCCTGGGTTCAGGCTCTCTGTCCCTTCCCTGTCCATCGGGTACTGCCTGGCCTCTACAGTTCAGCTCCTCTGCTGAAACGGGGATGGCAGAGACCTCTGCCTCCTAGAACTCTGCAGGACTAAGTGCTAAGAACCAAGCTTAGCCTCCATCACAGTGGTCACAGTGGCTCGGGGCCGGTGGCCCTGGGCCTTGCCTCTAGGAGAAGCTGGGCTCAATCATTGGTCCCTTGAGCCCAGGGTCCCTAACAGAGTGGGAGAGGAGCCGAGCCCCTGCTAGAGAGGCCTCGGAAGCCAAGGCTGCGGTGCTCGCGCTGAGAGGGAACTGGGCAGCCTGCTGGTTTGCATCAGGCCTCCGCCCTGGGCAGCTGCAGCTTAGTGCTGGGCTCAGCAGACAGAACAGCTCAATCCCCAACCCACCTCACCCAGAGACCTGCCCCGCCCCCTGAAGGACCCTGGGTCAGCACCGAGTTGTAGCTTTGAACTTCCCTGTCACCCCCTGGCCCCGTGGTGTGAGTGGGGTTTCCCTGTTCCCTGGACTGCCCACTTGCAGCTCCACTACACGCAGCAGAGGGCTGAACCTGCTCATTCCTCCCACCCCCTCCTCGCGTACACAGCCTGGGTTCAGTGCAGGGGAGCTTGGGGACATGCCCTGCATAGTTTGCATCTGTGTTGCCTCCCTATCATGAGAGAAGCTTGGGGCTACTTAGAGACGTGTCAGGAACCCAGTGGGCTGTGGACGAGGTAGGGGCCTGGGCTCGAGGCCCTTCCTAGTACTCAGCCCCCATGTCTGGAGGATCCCTGAGCTCTGCCCTTGCTCGGCGCTCCTGTGCGCACACACTCCTGACCTGCCCATGGGGCGTGCAGTTCTGGCCTAGAATCCGACTCTCCTAACATAGTCCTACCCCCCACCCCCAGAAAGCTTCCCGTGACTTCCCCGGAGGTGAACTTCCACTGCCTCCCTCACCAAGGCAGAGCAAATCTGCCTGACCCCATCCCCACTGAACGAGAATCCGCTGTGCCACGTCACCTCCAGTTGCCAGCAGGTGCCAGGCCGCTTCACCTCCTGGTCCTAGCGGGTGCCTGGAGCACCCTTCCTCTGCCGCTGTTCTCGTTAACGGTAACTGTCAAGCCTTGGCTCTGAGCAGCCTCATTTGGGCCCACCGGACTGTGCTCTTCACAAGGCTCCTTGCCAGCTCCAGTGTGACAAGGTGCCAACAGCCTCTCAGAGCTTCGGCTCTGCTCTGGGGCCCCCCAGCAGGGCAGCTGAGGCCAGAGGAAAAAAGAGGGGAGCAGCTGGGACCATCAGGAAGACAAATGCTCTCCCCATCCTTTCTTTGCACCCACCCTCCAACTCGACGTCTGCAGCCCCCCCCGTGGTCACACTGCTCATGCCCTCTGCCAAGCTTTGGCAGGGAAGTGGGCCCAGGGGTGTCCCGTGCAACTCTCTCTGCCAGGTTCCTCCTGGCTTCCCTTTTCCCTGGCTCCTAATGGTGGGCTGCTTTGATCCAGCCAGGCGGTTCAAGTCACCCCTTTGCCACCCCCCTCCCCAGGCCAGAGCAAGGATCCACTGTGAGTCAGACGGGGAAGTGGGCTGGGAGGAAGAGCCGCAACCTTGCAGTGACTGGCTGCCCAGAAGCCTGTAGCTCCTCTGGCCTGGCCTCAGCCTGGGGCCTCTGGGAGCAAGCCAGCTACCTACGTACCCCTGCAGGTGCAGGATGTCTGCAGCTGCCAGGAGCTCCCAGGTGCCCAGGCCTGCAGCCTGTCCCAGACTGTGCCCCTACCTCTTGTCTCTCCCCACCTCCATCTGGCCATGCACTCTGCTCCCCATGGCTGCCCCTGGCTCTGGGATAGGCTGAGGGCCTCTGCCTTCTGGCCTTGCACGCTTACAGAACAGACCAACAAGACTGTCTCATGGCACCTGCCTCTGGCCTCCGCTCCTTTTCATCCCCTGACACCCAGAACCGAGTCACGGTGAGCAGGCCCTGGAGTTCCTGCCTACTCCAGTAAGGTGGCACACCCAGGCCTTCGGCTGCAGCTGGGCATGGACTGGTGTGTAAACACAGGGCACGTGCATGCGCGTGAGGTGGGGGTGCCAGGAGGGGCATGTGAGAGTGAACCAGGCAGGACAGGGCACAGCCAGCCTGGGGGAGGAAGGGAGTGCAGAGGGGAACCTGGAGCCACAGAGGAGGCCCGCAGGCTGCTCTGCATTGGTGGCCCAGTCACCACCGGACCCTGCCAGGCCCAGCGCTATGTGGTCCCCACCCTGCTGCCTGCTGAGCCTGGCAGCGTTCCTTCGCAGCCTCCTGCCAGCACAGCCAGCCCCCTGCCCCCACGGTGTCCCTGCCAGAGCGGCATTCCGCAAGCCTGGCTGCATCTCCCCAGCAGAGGCTGAGCCCGGAGGCCGCGCAACAGCCGTCAGGTCACACGGCCGGGAGGGGGGCACGGTGGGGCCTGGGCCTCTGGGCCTGGGCCAGTCACCTTCAAGGATTTGGTCCCTGCAGCTGTGTTGGGGATCTTACATCCGTCGCCCTGGCCGCCCTGTGCAGCCAGAGGCAGCCACCAGGTAGGTATGGTCTACCACGCCTGCCCGGGCAGCACAAAGCAGGAGGCCCGGGCCACCCTGGGACCCGGGTGGGAGGTCGGACCAGTTGGGGTCCCCAGACTCACCCCCAGGTCAGAGCAGCCAGGCGAGGTGGGGGTGGCGAGCGCGGCTGGAGTCCCTCGGCGTGGGAGCGCCCAGGGGAGCTGCCTTTTCTGCAGAGGGCTGGGGGCCCGGCGAGCCCAGCTTCCCGACTTCACAGCTGCCTCCTACCCTGGCCCCGCCCCCGCGCCGCAGCTGGAGGGCACCGAGGTTAGACTCCGGGACGCACTTCCCGGCGGAAAGGGGGCTCCGAGAGAAAGGGTGGGTGGGCCCAGGGCCCATCTGCTCGGATATGAGTACTGGGGACCGGCGGGGCACCCCGGCGGCCCGAGGGAACGCGGGCTGCAGCGGGACGCCGCGCACCACGCGTGTCCGCGCCCCCCGCCGGCACGCAGGGCGGCCTGGCCCTTT